AAATAAAAATAAAATAAATAAAACAATTCTTAACTCCATTGTACTGAAAAAAAAAGCTATGTAGCTTTAATTTAAAAGTTCAACCATCCTGTGTGATAGAATTCTAATATAATGTTTGCTGTTGGGTTGTGCCTGTCAAGACTAGACAAACCACTATGTGACCAACTAGTAGGATTTTCCTAATACAATGTACTACAACTGCCCAATCAGGAGGCTGATGATGGCATTTGGTAGTTACTATCCAAATATATTATACTATCCCAATTTTGGACACTACCTACCATGTACTACAGTCTATACCTAATCTATAATTTGTCTAGAAAAGTAATCTTTGGTTCAGAAAATGATATTGATCCCATGTTTATTTCTACTGTCCCCTTATCTTTCATGTTTCTCTAGCCTTCCTCTTTTAGTTACAATGGAATATGTAATCATTCGTCTCTATCACAAAAACAAACTTTCCATTAATGACTGTCTACGGAAAGTGTTTTTAAAAAGAGATTAGTACTAAAATAAAAGAAAAATAGTAAAAAGACTGGACACATGGACGGATGGAGATTATGAAAAAGCAAATAAGATGAGATCTCAATATACCTCACTATCGTTAAATTAGCCTAATGATACCTTCACTAATACAATTAAAGACTTTGGGTGAATATTTTAAATTACAAGGAGTTGTGTTCTAAGAGTATTTGATTTAATGCTCCCTGGCATATGGTATCAGTTTGACTCAAATAAACTCTTAAAAATTAAAAAAAAAATTTATGTTCCAGTAGATCCTTTTAACTAGCAACCAAGATTAAGGATCAAGCCCATTGGAGCACCCAGAAATAGAGAGCCCTGCATAGTGCTTGGCATATAGCAGGTGCTCAATAAATACTTCCCATATTTTTTGGCTATTGGAAACTTCTTCCCAGTTGATCTAATAGGAAGACCATGGGCTTTAGGATCAGACACACCAGGGTTTAAATCCTGTGTTCTCTACTTATTAGCTGTGTGATCTGGAGAAGTTAGTGGAGCTCGCTGAGTCCCAGTGTCCTCAAAAGGGGATAAAAATATGACTTTATTGTTGTGAGGATATAGTATATGCAAAAACACTCTCATGGTGCCTCGCCCACCGTCTGAATTCATTTTCTGAGGTGAATTTTCTTTCCTGACACTTGTTATGTGCAGTTACAGTCCTTATAAAATGGATCGCCTATTTGGATGTCGGTTTATGCTTCATATCCATATTTCTCTCCCCCCACCTTCTCCTTCTCTTTCCCTCCACAGAGCCTAAGTTGGAGCCATTTCAAATTTTGGGTTGTAACTAACTGCTGAAAGAAAAACAAAAAAATACTCCTTTCACAGCCTCTTTCAGGCATCCGTGCCTTGGGCCTTGCCCGGTAAAAATAAAATTAGCCACAGCAGTTGCCAGTTAGAGGCTCTGTGGGGCTTTTGTTCTGAAAGCCTCAGAAGCTATTTAGAGAGCCCAGGGGGAGAATCCCTCCCTCTCAGCAGCTCTGGAATGTCTCATTAGACATTTTACATTGCAGGCCATGCCAAGCCCCTAACAAGCCACCTCGGTCTGTGGGGTCTGGCAGTTGGGTGTGTCACTCGGGACTTTCCTGGGAGTATACAGGGAAGCTGCAGAGAGGAAATTGTGACCAATGCCTGTGTCACTGTGAGAAGCAAGTCAAGAGGAAACAGGGCTGAATCGGTCGCTTTGTTCTGGGATATTTGATGCCTGACATCTAAAGCACTTGGAGGACAATGTATATTTTGTTTTGTCTTGCTTCCATCCTCTTCCAAAATATTGTCAGAAGGCAGCCCCCTATGAGGAATTGAAGTAGAAAACCAGAGAGTGCTCAGAAGCCTAAACATATTACTCCACAAATTTCATTTTTATAAAATGCATTCCTCGACAGAGAGAGAAGAAAAAAAAATTTTTTTTTAAAGTTTCCTCCCTCGGCAGGGTCATGATGGAAAAGTTGTAAGGCCTGTGAAATTCCTCCTCAGTGCCCTTTCCCACTCACTTGCAAAGCCTTTTCTGCTTTGAAAAGCCCCACAGGAGAGGTGCCCCATGGCCCTCTGGCTGTACTTGCACCTGAGGGTTCTCACTGCAATGGGTTCCTGTACCTGACCTCCCCCAGCATTGCTTGGCCTCTACCAAACCAGCCCTCAACTGGGTTCATTGCGCATTTCCACGGGACTTGCACAGTGTGGTAAAAACCTCCAAAGGAACCCACGGGAGCCAACTCCATTGAGCCAACAAAGACAAAACACTTCACTCTACTAGAATGCATAGAGATCCAGAGGGCAGCCGACATGAGATGAGGTCGGCAGCCTTGCTTGCTGGCACCACACACACACACACACACACACACACACACACACACACACACACCCTTGAGGTTCCCACATTGCACCAGCCTTCAAATGCCCCCCATCAGACTCAGAGCATAGTCTCTCCCCACCTTTAGTATACCCACACCTAAAGGCTACATTTTCATTCTTTATGAATGCTTTACAGACTTCACTTGAGATGCATTCTGATCTCTTCACCCCTATAAAAATGCTTTTGGGCAGTTGGCAGGGAGATGTGCCCGACTGAGGAGTGGGGTAGAGTAATGACATTGAAACATGTATTTATTCACATCACACATATGTATATATGTCAGGCCCTATGCCAGGCACTGGGCGGGTTTACAACGAGGAGCAAAATGGACATCCTCCCTACTCTCAAAGAGCTAGCCACATGGCTGCAGGCAGTCAGGCTGTAACAGGTATCAAAACATATATATTTAATTTCAAAATTGAGAAAAGTATTGTAATGCCACCCAACAGGATAGTGTAATGAGAGTAACAGAGAAGAACCCCCCTAGAGGGGTAGTTGTGACGTCCTGTCTGACTGAGACTGGAAAGTTGGAAAGGAGCCAGCATGGAAGAGCCAGATTTAGACAATTCTGGGCAGAGGAGACACCCCAAATGTACAAAAACCCTAGTTCAGGAAAGAGGAACTGGGAAAAAGTCTCTATCACTGCGGCAGCATGTGCAAGAGAGACTGGGTCCCAACAAGGGGGGGTTGGGGAGGGGGCAGTAAGCAGCAGCCACTCCATACAGAGTCTTATAATATAATAATGCAACAAGAGCCAACATGTATTTGCACTTACTATGTGCCAGCATTGTTCTGAGCACTCTACATTTATTAACTCATTTAACCCCCACAGCAACCCTATGAGGTAGGTATGATTATTCCTCTTTTACAGAAGAGGACACGAAGGCACAGAGGTATTGAATAATGTGCCCATGTTCACACAGCTAGAATGTGGTGGAGCCCCCTAGATAGAGTGTGTGCTCTTAACCAATTTGCGATTTCTGAAGGGATTTTATTCCAAGTCATTCATTAAAAATTTACAGATTGGTGCTGGCCGAGTGGCTCAGTTGGTTAAGAGCTTGCTCAAGAGTTTGAGCTCTGAGCAACAGCGGTTCGAGTCCGACCCGAACTGAGTGCGGCTGAGCTGCCAACAAGTAGCAGGATGGCTCAGCTAAAAAAAAAAAAAAATTTACAGAATGATTTATGACTTGATCTGCAGTTTTAAAAGAGCCTCTTTGGCATCATTTTGTGAAATGGATTATACAGGGCAAGAGTGGAAATGGAGAGGCTGTTAAGAGGCTGTTGCAATTTTGCAGGTGGAGATGGAGAGAACTAGACAGGCTGAGATTCATTTTGGAGATAGAATGTTCATGAATGAGATGCAGAATGAGAGTTCCCCTATGTGCCTGCTCTCAAGTTCTCAGAGATGGTCATGGGCCCACCTCTAGGCAATTTAATGCCAAAAATGACACAGGGGCCAAAAAATGACATTTACAGGAATGTCAAGGACATATCTGGCTGAAATGAATGTGTGAGATCACGTGTCTAGACAAGTAAACCATTCCCTGGGAATCCTTTAAGCTTGTGCTTCTCAAACCAGGGCCCAATTGTCTTCAGGTTATGCAGCCTTGTGCCAGAGAGTACACAAGTTCACAAGATAAATCTCTTCCTAGAGTGTCAATATTACTTTAAGATTGGGGTACTGGGGTGAGGAGAGGGCAGAGGGAAGAGCATTACTTTTTTACATAATATGAGTATATTTGAAGATGATGCAAAGCTTGCATGGATTTTAGGATACAACAGTAGACTTTAAAGAAACCTTATTCTTGCCACAGTTGCTTCAAACGCTGCCTGGAGACCATCCTTCGCCTATAAAAGTGTATTTACCTTTGCTATGGGTGGTATTTGGCTTAAAATTTTTTTGAGGGAGAGATCCAAGATGGCAGCGTAAACACTGTGCCCACTTCCTTCCGTGAACACATTAAAATTACAACTAAATTATAGAACAATCAACCTGGAGAACCATGTGAAGTCTGGCTGAACAGAAGTTTTATAACTAAGGATATAAAAAAGAAGCCACATCGAAACTGGTAGGAGGG